CCACAAGGATCGCCGCTCCCTCGAGTCTCCCCCCCTCTCTCTCGTTCTCTCTCTCTCTCTCTCGCTCCCTCCCTCCCTCCCTCCCTCCCTTCCTCACACGCACTCTCTCTCTCGCTCTCTCTCTCTCTGCTTCAGAGAAGGAGGAGGAGGAGGAGGAGAAGGAGGAGGAGGAGGAGGAGGAGGAGGAGGAGGAGGAGGACGAGGAGAAGGGGGGAGACAGAGACGGAGGGGGACAGCGAGAGAGAGAGAGAGGGAGACTCGAGGGAGCGGCGATCCCTGTGAAATCACAATGTTTGCGAAGCCTGGGGGCACCAAACCATGTTATTTCATTGGGATGTTTGGGATTCCTGGGTCAAGAATCCCAGAACCCATGTGATTTCATTCGGAATTTTGGGATGTTTGGGATTTTCTATCCTCCAGTCCTGGGGAGCCCCGTCGTCGTTTGTTTTTTTCTCTGGGACTGAAAATCCGAAAAATCCGAAACATCCAAATGAAATCACAGGGGTTCTGGGATTCTTGACCCAGAAATCCCAAAAATCCCAATGACATAACAGGGCTTGGTGCCCCCAGACTTCGCAAACGTTGTGATTTCACAGGGATCGCCGCTCCCTCCCCCCCTCTCTCTCTCTTTCTCTCTCTCTCTCTGTCTCCAGCTCTGGGAGCGGAGGAAGGGATGCGAAAGACAACGTGGAAAGAAACAATACGAAGAATGGGTGCTGGGGGGGGCTGTCCATATATGTGTATATATATAGGCATATATATAGAGAGAGACATATATATATATATGTATGTATATTCATATATGTTCGTGCATTCATACATAAATACCTGCATGCATGCATGCATACATGCATACATGCACATACAACCATACATACACATACACATACACATACACATACACATACACATACACATACAGACATGTTCACATACACATGCATGTGTGTATGTGTGTGTACACACATAAACATACAAACAAACAACCATACATACATATATATATATATGTATATATGTACATGCATGCAAACATACGTGCGTACGTACATACATCCATTCATAACATCACACATAAATCATACCGCCATACATCCATACCTCCATACATACGCCCGCACGTACACATATACATTCCTACACACATAACTCCATACCTCCATACCTCCATACCTCCATACATCCATAACTCCAACCAACCATACATCGATACACTCGTGCATCCATACATCAGTACATCCATACATCCATTCATACATACATGCCATCTCACTACATTCCCTTACATTACATTACACTACACACAGACAGACAGACAGGCAGACAGGCAGGCAGACAGACAGACAGACATACGTACACACACCACACACATACATATGATGCTACATATGTATATATATATGTATGTATGTGTGGATATGTATGTGTGTATGTATGTATGCATACGTATGCATACGTATACATACATACATACATACATCCATACATACATACATACATACATACATACATACATACATATATACATATACAAGTGGCGTGTGTGTGCCCAGGCTCATGCAAACAAAAACTGAAAGGGCGTTTGAAACAGGAAGACACCATGACTGCAGGATCGGAGATGGAAAAGGGGAAGCTGGGGCTGCGCCGCCGGGGCGTGCCTAAGAGAAGGGGAAGAGGCAGGAGGTGAACGCAGAATAATCTAAGATCGAGGTCGCACTCGAGCGCAAGTGGGGTTGCCACACCTTGCGATGTGTGTACCAGGGCCCCCCAGGAAACCTCAAGAGGCCCGACTTGGATACCGGAAGAGGCTCCAGGAGGCCCCGGGAATGTGAGTGTTGTGTGTGTGTGTGATGTGTGCTCTGTGTTGTGCGTGTTTTCTGTGCGTTGTAGGTGTTGTGTGTGTGTTATGTTTGTCTAGCGTGTGATGTGTTGGGTGTGATTTGTGTCTCTGTGTGTGCATGTAGTTCTGAGGCCCCAGGAGGCCCCAGGAGGCCCCAGGCGGCCTCAGGAGGCCCCAGAAGACCCCAGGAGGCTCCAGGAGGCCCCAAGAGGCTCCAGGAGGCCGCGGGGGGCCCCAGGAGGTTCCAGGAGACCCCTAGGAGGCTCCGGGGCGGGGTCTGGGGTACCAGCAGGTACAGAAAGCCCCAGGAGGCCCCAGGAGGTTCCAGGAGGCTCCCAAGAGGCTCCGAGGCGGAGTCTGGGGTACCAGAAGGTACGTCAGGGCTCGATTTTGGGAGGATGTCTCAGGCGAAATCGCCATTCTCTGAGAATCGGGGTCAAAATCATTGACATTACACTGTGTTTTGAAGGTTTTATGTTAGAATGTTGAAATACCAATGTGTTTTTGGACCCTGACGTCACGATCTGCGTGAGGGGTGCCACCGATTTTCAGAATTTCGAGGATGTCCCTAGCGAAACGGCCAGAACAATCGCGGACGCCGCCTTCAATTAATCGGCTCTGAGCTCTACTCCCTCGGAGAGGTGCGTATGATTATATATATATATATATATATATATATATATATATATATATATATACCTACACACATGTGTGTGTGGGTGTTTGTGTGTTGGCCTTTGGACCATCCCGCCACGGTGCATGGGCTGTGTGTCAGAGGCCTTTTGGGCGTTCATTGGTGCCTCGTGGGAAACCTGTCGGGATCCTCGTCGAGGGCAGCCGTGAAGCCTCTCGGGGGCCGTTTCGGGGCTTATGGGGGCCTCTTTCGGGCCGCTCGGGGGCCTCTTTGAGCCTCTTGGGGGGCCTCTAGGGAACCTCGAGGCCCTGGGGGCGTGGGGGGGCGGAGGACTGGAATTGGGGGTTCGTGTTCACCCTCTTGGGGCCCTCTTGGGCCGCTCTGGGGCCCCTCTTGGGCCGTCTTGGGGGGCCTCTTGGGCCGTCCTGAGGCCCTCTCGAGTCATCTTCCGAGAAGTCTATGACGCCGTCTCGGGGCTTTCTTGGTCCCCTCTTGGGCCGTTTCGGGGCGGTCTTGGGCGCCTCTTGAGCCGTCTGGGAGCGTTGAAGCCCGAATCGGCAAGAACGCCCAAACCCATCAAAAACCGAAGGACAATCTAAGTTTGGCCTCTTGGGGCACTCGTCGGGATCCTCTTGGAGCCTTCTTGGGCCGTCTTGGGGGCCGTTTGGACCGTTTGGAAAGCTTCTTGAACTGTCTGAGACCCCAGCTGTCTGATCGCTATGGGTGCCGATTTACAGCCTTCCAACAGCGGGCCCTGACCCGAAGCGCCTCGAAAAGGGTCGCCCCCCCCCCCCAGGACTAAAAAGGGACCAGGGGGGGGGAAGTTTGAAAAAATGTGCCGCCCCCGGGGCCAGGAACCCGACTCCCCGCTATATGATACACAGCATGGCCATCACCATCACCATTATCCTCACTCAAAAGCTAATACGCTCAGACACACATACTCAGATACCCACACACTCATCTTGAGAAAGTCTCTAGTGGGAGCCTCGGCTGTGAGTGAATTGCGAGGAAGTCTCGAGAATGAACCTTCCTCCTGCAGAGCCCGCACTTCATGCTCCTAATCCCGGGCGGCCATCGGAACCCTGTCACTGTAGTTATGTGTTGGGCTCTAGAGGCATGCATCTTGAACTAACTTCGAGCGGACGCCCCATCCCGGAGCGAAAGGTTCGGACAGTCTCGAGTGGAGAGCCCCCCCTCTCGACCATCGGAAACCCATAATGATCGTCACTTTTGGGCTCTCGAGGGACGAATATTGAGGAAGTCTCGAGGAGAAACCTCGTCTGTGAGTGAATTGCGAGGACCCCTCGAGCGAAACGCCCCCTCCTGTAGGGCCCTCACTTTCTCTTACGACTCCAAGGCGGTCATCGGAACCTTGTACCTGTCGTCAACGTTTGGACTCTCGAGGCATGAACATTGAGGAAGTCTGCGCGTCTTGAGGAAACCTCGCATGAGAGACAATTGCGACGGAGTCTCGAGCCAGGGTGGGCCCTCCTGCAGGGCCCCCACTTTATGTCACTAAGCCGATCCCTCTGAGAATCACAGGGTGGGAATAAAAAAAATCCAGACTCGGGGGAAGCATGAATTTGTCACCCGGCCACTCGCATGTACGATGATAGTAGTACGATATAACGAAATACTGTTCGCTCTGGCGGGGCCTCCTTTCCACCGACCAACTTTGCATTGGCCCGGGATAATTAACTCTCACGGGTAGGTGGGGATGCTTTATCATCCAGGGTGCTCGGCAATCGGAGGCGGTCATCGGATCCCTATAGCTATGTCATCGGTTCCCTATAGCTGTTTGCATGGTTTGGGGATCTCGAGGCATGATTCTTGTGAAAATATTAAGCAAACCCTCGTAGTCTTGAGCGGGAACCACTTCCTGTGGGGTCCCCTTTTCAAATTAGCAATCCGACGGGGCAACCGAAATCTTGCGACGGTCGTCACTTTTGGACTCCCGAGACATGGATATTGAGGAAGCCTGGAGCAGTAACCTCGTCTGTGCGTGGATTGCGAAGAAGGACCGAGCGGGAGCCTTACCCTGTGGGGGCCCCGTTTCATGTTACTGTCCCGAGGCGGTCATCGGAACAATGTAACTGTCGTCACTTTGGGGCTCTCGCGGTGTGAATCTGGAGAAAATTTTGGGCGGCATCGTTTGCGGGCCATTTGCGAAGAAGTTTTTGGTGGGAGCCCTCGAAGCGCATCAGAAGGTCGATGGAAGCCGCGAAAAACCTTAGGAAACACAGGCAAGCTTCATGAGGCCGCCGCAAGAGGCTGCAAGAGGCCTCAGGAGTAGGCAGGACCCCCCAGGAGGAGGCAGGAGGTGGAGCGGGAGGCAGGAGGCAGAAGGAGGCAGGAGGAGGTAGGAAGAGGAGAAGTAGAAGGCTACTCAGTAGCCTTTTTACTGCTAGCCGCTACTGCATTTTCTCCTCAATACGCGCATTGGCTGCTCGTGCTGTCCTTCCTGCGCTCCCTGTGCCCGCAACGGGGTTGCTCAAGCTTCGCCCCCACAACATCTGGCGGCTCCTCTGGCGTCCAGGTCCTCCGCAGGACCGCCGGAGCAGGCCTGGCTCCAGTAAGCGCGGGAGGTAGAAGGTTCCTCCTCGTCCTCCTCCTCCTGTTCCTCCTCCTCCTCATCCGTTTCTCCTCCTCTCCTCCCCTTCCCTCCTGCCACATTCCATATCCGAATCCTTCCTCATATCCTCCACCTCTTCCCCCTCGTTACCATATCCTCCTCCTTTCCTCCTCCTTTCCTCCTCCCTTCTTCCTCCTACCCTCCTCATTCGTTCCTTCTTTGCAAGAGCAGCCAACATCGAACCGGGAATCGAATCGGATTGAAATGCGCGGATCGGCCTGCACCGACACGGAGCCGAAATCGTATCGGATCGGTTGCGCCAACATGCGCAGCAACGTCACGAAAGCATCGGGCCGCATCGAATCGTCGGAACATCGGAATCGAATCGGATCGGGACATCCCACGAGAAAGAAGACGGCACGGCCAGGTCCTTTCAAGTGCGCCACGGCATGCACAGGTCGGCAAGGAGAAAAGGGCACACATAATATAACGGGGAACCCAAATGCACGATCGCATAATCAACGTGGATGATGGGTGGGGACGGTGTAGACGCCTTGGCCAAATCCGCGCGGACGACAAAGGCCCCCCCGAGATCCTCTCACGTCGCGTTCGGCAGAGAAGCGTCATTTCTACACATGCGCGCGCGCTCACCAACGCCGTTTGTTGGGCACAAGGGCATTCGTAGACCTTGAATGCACAGATCACTCCTTGACTTCCGATGCATTAATCAAGTTTTTTTTCGCCAAGCGGATCCATATTAATGCAACGTACAAGGCAATCTTTGTACACCCGCCTCAGGCTCGCCTGACAATGGCAAAGCCGAGCCAGGGTCGCAGAAAAGCAGTTGGCTGCGAATTTCCTTTGGTTTCCTGTCTGGTCTAGGACTGAATAGGCCCAGTCTTTCGGGCACCCCTTGTCCAGTCCGTCTCCGGCGTTTCGGCGTGTGGTTGGCGATCCTCTTGAGGACCTGCCACCACCAACCACACGGGGCACGCCGACGTTGTCACGAACGACGCCTCTCTTTCTCACTGTGCGAAAACACCACGCGTACCTCTTGAATGCAAAGATACACTGTGTCGGGTTGTGCTCTGGGACTCCTTCGTACACACCAAAATTGCCAGAAGATAACAAACCAGACTCTGATAACCTGCTGTTTTGGCATTCGAGGAAGGGAGAAAACAACTGTCCCCTCATTCGTGGCACCGCCGGCGACGGCGGCTAAACCGGGTGCGTGCCCTCTTCTCCTTGAGCGGGCTCTAACCACGGCCCAGGGGCGTGAGCCACCTGCCCCCTGCGTTAGGCGCTCGTGGACAATCAGAGCGCACCTGCGAGCCCCCCTTTTTGGTAAAGCCATCATTGCTACCTCTCTGACTGTTGGGAAAAAAAAAAGGCCGCACCACCGAAAACGAATTCCTGGAGAGACATTTCGGCTGATAACCAGTTTTTCGCCAAGCAGATCCATATTAATGCAACATACAAGGCATTTTTTGTACACCCGTCTCAGGCTCGCCGGGCAGTGGCTAAACCGCGCCAGGGTCGCAGAGAAGCAATTGGCTGCGCAATGTCCTTTGGTTTCCTTTCTGGTCTAGGACTGAGTCGGCCCAGTCTTTCGGGCACCCCTTGTCCAGTCCGTCTCCGGCGTTTCGGCGTGTGGTTGGCGATCCTCTTCAGGACCTGTCACAACAAACCACACGGGGCACGCTGACGCTGTCACGAACGACGCCCCTGTTCCCGACAGCGCGAAAAAAACACGCGCACCGCGTGAATGCAACAGTACACGGTGTATGGTTGTATTATTATGGGATTTCTTCGTACACGCCACAATTGCCAGAAAATGTCAAGCCAGGCTATGACAACCTGCTGTGTTGGCCTTCGAAGGAGGGACGGAACAACTAAAATACTTCGGCCCTTTGGGGGGTTCCCTTTCGTGTCTTGGGGCTATCCTGTCCAAACACGACAGGGAATCTGCGTTGTCATGTCTTTCCAGCGAACCTGTGCAAATCAGCTCTCGACGCGAGCATGCATGGGAAACCACTGGGCTGGACGAGCCAACGTCTGCGGCCCGAACTGGGGCAGTCTGCGACGGCACCAAAGAATGCGCCTGAGCATCTTAAAAGGGGAACGACAGGGCCGTGGTCGCTTCGGACGCAACGACGCAAGCCGTCCAGAGCGGCACAGCCGGAAAAACAAACTTGCCATGACAAGCTCGTGCGCGCCGCGTCGGGCAATCTATGAAGACCGGTCTGACTGCACTTGACAAAGGTCATGAAATTCGGGAGCGTTCAGCGGTGGAGAGAGGAAGCTGAAACGTGATCGGGCATGTCAAAACGGCGCTGCAAAACAAGGTTGGCAGCTGTGCCCAAGCCGGCCATGGTAACCAAGTCCGCGCCGGCGCGTCGTCGAATCGGAGGTTTAGAGACTCCTTAGGAACCACCCTGGGCGCTTGCCATGGTGGCGTACCGACCGGCTAATTAAGTCATCCTCCCCCGCCCTCCTACCACTCCTGTTCCTTCCTCAACTCCTCCTCCCTCCTCCTGCATTCCTCATACTCCTCGCGCGTAGCCGCGGCGCAAAGCTCCATCCTCCGCGCCGCGCCCGCGCCCGCTTGGCGCCGCAGGTGGGCGCCTCCAACCTGCGCGAAGGCAGAGGCCTCGCGTGGGAGCAGTGGTCGGCCGGAGAGGGCCCTGTGCGCTTCATTGAAACATAAAAAACAAAATGGCCAGTCCTTCATGGTTTTCCGCCCGAAAGCGCCCCGCCCGCCCCTGTCAACCCCCGCCCCCACTGGCCCGACGACTTCCAGCACAACAGATCGGAGCCGCGAGCGCCCGAGATAGCGCCCCATGCATTCCAGGGCCTCGCAGCCGAGACAACGCGAAAACGATTGGTGCTGGAGTCGGCGCTGTGCGAGCCAGGCTTCGCTGAAATTGCGAATTCTGGCGGATGCCAGGGCGGGCTTTTAGCTGCGACATCACATGGCTAACGAACTTCTGACCGAAAACCGCGGCGGTGTCCAGGCCCTCGGGGAACCGCGAGAGGCGCGTCCGAAACGAAAGCTGGAGGCCCTCCAGGGGGAAAAGCGCGGCCGTCGAAGAAGCCAACAGGACCCGCTTAATGTTTCAGCCCATGGGGTCAACGGCCCCACCGGCCTCCGAACCTCATCATGGCCAGGGCCCAGACAATAACGGTGGGGATGACGGGGGAAACAGCTGCGGCAGCTTGCAATCTCCGGCGCTGGGCCAGCCCGCCCCGCCCCCGCGTTCCCGCGGAGTTCGCCGCGCGCAGCTGCAGCAAGTGGTCGCCCCGTCATCGCCTTCTGTTTTCAACGCTCGAGCGCCGGGGGCCATGCGTCAGCGAAGGTGGGGGCGGCGGCGCGCCTCTGAGCTGCGGGCGCCGCGAGTGCCAGACACAGCATCTCTGGACCTCGCCACTTGCGCATGTCGAGCCACCCTTACCTGCTCAGCGCGCAGTGTGGGAAGTGAGAGATCTTGGCAATCACGGCCGCCACATGCCCCATCAGCGCCTTCGGCGGCGGGAGGAAGTGGGCAAAGCGTCGGGGCCGTCGCGCGGCGGGGGGCCCGCGGGCCAGCGGCGACGCCGGTCGGCGAAGCAAGCGCCCGCGGCTCCGCCGCGCCCCGATGGGGCCCCGCGCAAGAACCGCAGAAGCCACGGGGCCCTTCCCACGCCCCAGAATATTTCTTACTAGCCGCGATCGCAAACCTCGCCCATTCATGGGCCAATTTCACGCATCGGCCCCGGATATATGGACCCCCAGGTCGCCAGCGCAAGCGCGCGGCCCGGCTCGGTGGCGCGCGGCGAAGCTGGCGGGGCAGGCCCGGGGGCCCCCGAGGGGCGCAACGCGCTGCGCGCTTCAGCAGAGGGCCACGATGAGCCAAGGGGGCGGCTCAGGGAGGCCACTGTCCTGCAGACTGCAGAACTTTCTCCGTCTTGGAGCGGGAGACGGGGGGGGGGCTTGGCCGGAATGGCGCGGGGCGGTGGCGCGGAAGTGAATTCCGGCGGTCTCCGACGCCGAAGCGAGACGAGCGCGCGCGCGCCGACGTCGACGATGTTCGCGCCGAACTGCCCGCCCGCCGTGAAGCCGCGCCGGAGCGAGCAACTGACTTTCGCCATCTTCACCGAGAGGGGTCGCAACGCGCGCGGGGCTCGCGACAAGCATATTCTCCGAACTCTTCTGGCCGAGCGGGCGCCGCGACTGGGCGTCGCCACTGGCGCCGCGCTCGCCCCCCTTCCCCCGCGCCCTTCGGCGCGAAGGTCCCCGGGGGGGCACCGAAGCTGGAGCGATGTGCATTCCCGTCCAACATCCGAAGGCCGCCCGGAGCTTCGCGGGTCTCTTCGCAATTCCCACCGAATGGTTGCCGGATGGGATTCCCGGTCGGCGGGGTGCAATTTCCCCAGATCCGCTGCGACTTGAAAAAAGAGCCCGAGGCCAAGGGCGCCCGCTGCAGACGTCGCGGCCCGACCTCTCGCGGGCTGCCGCGCGGGCCAGGGGGCGGGCGGAGCTGCGCCTCGCATCTCGCCCCCGCGCAGCTCTAGAAATCAACCATCAGAAGATAAGATGGGCAGGCTTCGAGTCGCGTCCGCGGCGAAGTAAGACGCCCCCAGCGAACTTGGCCCCATCGCCCATGGCACATTGATTCAGGGCTATCTTCAGCGGCGGCGACGGCCACGTCCAAGATGCATCGCCCAAGAATACTCGCGCGGCCCCCCGAGAATAATCTGCGCTGAAGAGCGCGCCAGAAGGGCGGTGCGTTCCTTCGGCGGGGCTTGGGGGGGGGGCAAGTCAACCGAGGCGAAAACGCATTGTGCCGTGAGGGGCCCCTAGAACAACCCCTCAAACAAATCCTCAGCGATCGCAAGGGCATTCGTCAGAATGAGACACCGCCAAGGAAGCAACGCGAAAATCCCATCGATGATGTTCGTCGAATCGCTCGCAGATGGAGGGGCTCGGCAGCTGACTGCCCCGCCCCCGCCGC